ATTCCGTGTTCTATCTCAATTTGTGTTGAACTGAAATGTCTTAATTATCTGAAACTTTGAAAAGCTATATTCGAAGCTTAACGCGGTAATACGATGGCAAAGAAACGAAAATGGAAATGTTAAGGACGTCAAACCCCCCCTCAGGACGGCCCTGACAGAATGCGAAGATAAGTGATAAAGTAGGTCACGGCTTAACTTCATCCTTCTTATAATATATTTTACGTGTTTTATTAAAGGTAAGAAGAATGGTATTGAAAATTTTATTAAATCGACGTTTATGAAACATTCTGTTACAATAAGAAGCATGTATATATGATTTAATGAAAACCAATAGCCAGTGGCATCGCAAAATGTTTATTTACTGTTCTGTTTCATAGCTGTAAGCAAATAAGTACCCAGAAATATTCTAGCCTCCTTCGTTCCGTGGATTTCATACAGCCTCACTGCTCACAGCGCTGGAAAAACAAAACGAAATCAGACATTCAAGAATCGTCTCTGTTCTTAAAGAACTCGCAACGAACATTTATGGGGAAACACATGAATAACTCCACGTGTTATTAATCTCTGTGTGGCTAGCTTCAGAATTGAGCAGTACACGAAAATATTCTGGCCCCAAGATGAATTAAATGAACATCGCAGGACAGTGCAGATGTCCAACAGATCAGATTGTTACGGAAGTTAAATCTGGGAGACAGACGAGCTAGGCATGTGGGGAGACAAGGAATGCACAAAGAATTTTTGGCTAGGACACAACTAACACAACGTCCAATTGGAAAACCACGAATAAGACTGGAGAATAACATTAAGATGGACGGTACTGGTATTGATTTAGGAGGACACCTTCAGTCGCCCCAGGAAATCAGACTACAGCTGGGTGCACCACAGAGCTTGTTAAGGGTCTTCAACGACCTCACGGATGGAACCAGCACCGACCTAATTAAGCCCTTCCTAATTTATATCTGCTCCAGCCCTGCAGAAGTGTACGAGATCTCTAAAGAGATCTGTTGTAGGTTTTGCTAATGGCTGTGCTAAAATTTTAATTCAACTCTTGATTATTATAAATACATAGTTTACAAACATAAATCAATCAGATAAACAGACATACAAAAATAAGCCTTGATGTCGGAATAAAATCACATAACTTAATGAAAAAAAATATTCAGATAAAGAAGGGAATAAAATTAATGACGAAGCAGAACTAAACATGACATATCATTGCCATTAATTTGGGAGTTCCTCTAAATTATTTATTTATTTAGTGTTCTGTCTGACGACAGGTCCATATGAACAGGATCCTTCCATCCTTTTCTCGGACTGGGACCTGTTCATATACGTTCTTGGCAGATGATCCAGAAGTGGTTTGCAATTGCCTTCTTCTGTGTGTGAATGGAATAATTGTTGGGATGCCACGGAGGAAAACTCCGGGCTGCCTAGACCACGGCCTTGCCCACCACAAGTTATAAATTCGGGCACCGCCGGGAATCGAACCCGAGACCCCAGGATTACAAGCCCAGCGTTCTAACCGCTAGACCACCTCATCATCTTATTATTTAGTGTTCTGTCTGAGGACAGGTCCATATGAACAGGATCCTTCCATCTTTTTCTCGGACTGGGACCTGTTCATATCCGTTCTTGGCAGATGATCCAGAAGTGGTTTGCCCTTGCCTTCTTCTGTGTGTGAATGGAGTAATTGTTGGGATGCCACGGAGGAAAACTCCGTGTTGCCTAGACCACGGCCTTGCCCAACACAAGTTATAAATTCGGGCACCGCCGGGGATCGAACCCGGGACCCCAGGATTACAAGGCCAGCGTTCTAACCGTAGATCCTCTAAATTGCTGTCTTAAAATTTATTTCCTCATAAAGAAAATGCTTCCACCCTTTTCATAAATCACAGGGCGACGTTATACGACGCCAAACGCCATGTGCAATGCAACGCGAGATGTTGCGTTGAAATTATCACAAGCCGCTGGAGTTAATACGTCAACATTTGGTTATTTTCACCACTAACACTAAAAAAGAAAGCCCCGAGGAAAATACATGAAACCTAATTTCTCTTACACACCCAAATCGTATTTGGAGAGGCCATCACCAAATTAAAAGTAACAAATTTATTGTTCAGTTTCTGTACAAATACCTGAAGTTTTTTTAACATAACCTTAAAATTTCTCACCTTCGCCAATTTTAATACACCAGACCAAATAGGCGTAGTGTAAAATTTAAAATTAATCTTCATCATGTAGTTAGATATTAGGCCACGTTTATATACTACAGAATGGGGCAGCGTTCATTCACCATTTTGATTTACGTAGAGTCTATACATTCTGTCTACGCCCATTGAAGGTTTACCTCAAGTCCGAACCTAGAATAGACAGAGTATCTGACGGCCCACTGATGAAAAAACCTACTATTTTGTACAATTTTCCTGTTTGTTTATGATAAGAATTAAAGATTATACACACGGTTGGATCACGAATTAAGGAAATGCATTTCAGAAGAATTAAACATTCAACCACCAGATTTATACAAAATTTAGAAAAGTATTTATAACTTATCAATGAACAGTGTTCACTCTAACAACATTCAAAAATGGCATAAGGTCTTCACCTCCGTTACAGCGCGGTTCTAAGTCAACAGTGCACCGTTTCTAGCTTTGCTACGCTGCGAGTTCTAAACTGTCTTCACTCGCATAGTCTCTGCTGATTGTGTTGTAATGCTGTAAGATTTTGCTGTGACCTTGAAGCATGCAATTTTATGACGGCTGCTATAGTTAACGCTTTACGACTGAAAGCTAAATATGTATTTATTTTTACAGTGAGTCTATTATTGGTGGTAAAGAATTAAAACTTCCTCTGTCGATCTATGGTAACCTCAGTGATGAAAGGTGTCTCAGGACTAAATGATGAGGAGGATATTTGGACCTAAAAAAACCAACAAGAAAGTCTGAGATTCTACAAAACCAATAGTGGCTCAGGTATTAAAAATTATCCCCATATGGAATCAGATAATTCGTTATCATGTTCACAAGAGCCCGCCACTGGACACGATGCTAAGCCAAATTAATCCACGTGCCAGGCTGGTTACACGTGTTTTAAAATTGGTTACTAAAATATTTTGCCATATTAATCCTTCGAAGTCGAAGCTCATCTACATATTATTTAGAGATGTAGTCTGTACCGCAAAATAAAACAATGTTTCTATATTAAAAAAAATCAGTTGTTAAATGCTGTTTAAGTAAACAATCACTATTTACATATTCCTAAAATAATATTAAACTCATGAATACGTTCTGAGATCAAAATACAGACCTGCTGGCTTTTAAATCATGCGGAAGAATAAGTTACCACCGGTCTTTTAATGGTAAATTATTGTAATTTTTATAACATAAAATGACTACGCACCAGGGCACAAAGTATTATTAGATATTGGCACAAAAGGAGGGATGGTCAGCTTCACGTTCAGGCCATTTTGACCCCAGTTAAAAAAAACCGACGGTAAACATTAGGGGGGATGGGCGTGGTGTCGAGAATTGAACTCTGGCCGTTCAGTTGGCAGCCCGTCGCTTTACAGACTGAGGCTACGATCGGCATATTTTATAGTCGTCAGACGGAACGCTGCGTATTTTACGGAAATTTAATGAAGAGAGAGTTATAAAGTCACGGAAGAATTTACAACACGTAATTTCTGGTTAATTTACACTTTTCTTAAACGAATTGTCTCAAACAAGATTTAATCACTGGACTTAAAGCGGGTTTCTTTCTTTTTAAGGAGATACAACTCTAATCATTAAAAAAACAGAGTAATATTTGCTGAAAACTGGTACGTGGCAAAGTGGTCTTAGCCCTCGCACATTTATATTCGTATGTTCATGACGTTATCGGACCCCGTGTTCCTCTGATAGCATTAACAGTTGAAATTTATCTACGGCGGTCTGATACGCCCTGATTTCCATAAACCCGTGTCAGGGACATATCGTCCGGGCAATCCTGCTGGGGTCCTAGGTTCGAATACACAAGCGCACAACACGAAGTGCACAGGGTTTATCTACCGCCTGTCAATACGGATTAGTTTTACACGCAGAATTCACTCACTCAGAAGCAGGTGCGGGAAGAGATAACGGCTCCAATTTGTATTCGGGAAGGGTCTGGAGAGGTTCATGGTTTTCCTCAGTACGTTATAGCAAATGACGGGATAATATCTGAAAACAGACTAACATAATGGCTTTGTATCCAATTCTTTATCGATTTCATCAAATGTAATCAATGTATTATATTACTGAAGATTTCTGTCTTCCGGGTTGTTGCGCTGCGTAGTATGAAAGATGTTTACGATGAATCGCCCTGATGACGGAGGCAGGATGACCTCTGAAACGTTGGTCAACATCGACCAGACTACACAGCGCAAGAACCCAGAAGACAGAAATCTTCAGACTCTGATGATGGAGGCAGTATAACCTCCGGAACGTTGGTTAACATCGACCAGCCTACACAGCGCAACAACCCAGAAGACAGAAATCTTCAGACTCTGATGATGGAGGCAGTATAACCTCCGGAACGTTGGTTAACATCGACCAGCCTACACAGCGCAACAACCCAGAAGACAGAAATCTTCAGACTCTGATGATGGAGGCAGTATAACCTCCGGAACGTTGGTTAACATCGACCAGCCTACACAGCGCAACAACCCAGAAGACAGAAATCTTCAGACTCTGATGATGGAGGCAGTATAACCTCCGGAACGTTGGTTAACATCGACCAGCCTACACAGCGCAACAACCCAGAAGACAGAAATCTTCAGACTCTGATGATGGAGGCAGTATAACCTCCGGAACGTTGGTTAACATCGACCAGCCTACACAGCGCAACAACCCAGAAGACAGAAATCTTCAGACTCTGATGATGGAGGCAGTATAACCTCCGGAACGTTGGTTAACATCGACCAGCCTACACAGCGCAACAACCCAGAAGACAGAAATCTTCAGACTCTGATGATGGAGGCAGTATAACCTCCGGAACGTTGGTTAACATCGACCAGCCTACACAGCGCAACAACCCAGAAGACAGAAATCTTCAGACTCTGATGATGGAGGCAGTATAACCTCCGGAACGTTGGTTAACATCGACCAGCCTACACAGCGCAACAACCCAGAAGACGGAAATCTTTATACTCACCGCTGTGAAAATCTCAAATCTTACATATTATATTACTGCTCGATAAAGTCTTTACAGTTGATAAAGTACCTTTAAATAACGTGTTGTACATATTTAGTTTTACCGGAGTGCTCATCATACCAAATTCTGCCAATATTGTATCAACTGTTGTCTGGTACGTAGGCGAAATGCGTAGTTTAACAAGTAGGATAACGCGCAGGCAAAAATCGAACTTGTTAAGAGGTTAATAAATATATGATCACTCAGAATATAAAAAATCCTCATAGAGGAAGTTAAAATATAAACT